TTGTCATAATGTTTATGTTACTTGGACCAAACAAGATGGATCCCAAATTGTTGTTTTTTATCTAATGACCTACAATCCCTCCAGCACCAAGAAACAGGACATATATATAACCCCAGAAGCATCTTCATCTAGTCTCCGACTTAAGCTGCAAAAAGTTTTTTAATTTTAATCAAGCTTTCATCTTTCACCAGTTTTATGGGCAAATCTAAAATAAAAAGCAGAACACACGGTGAGAAAAGTAACTACTTTTTTTCTTTTAATATAGATGTAGTACAGAATGTTTAATTACAGCAGGACAGTGCTTCCAGTTAAATAAAATTAAAAACCTTTATTTCCCCCAAATATAAAATTACTAAATTAATGTCTTAAAAGAATAAGAATATGGAAAAAGCTTTAAATTATACCACCATTTACCACAGGAACCATGATCAGCAATTACATACTCCATCGCTTTGGCAAAAAAGTACTTTTTCTTTTAATAACTGCATATAAACCTAACATAGCAAAGACTGTATACATCTTTATATTGCACTTATTTATATACATGAATAAATGAACAGTAAAGTCTGCATATACTTGGAATGAGCAAATTTTCACAATAACCTGAAAGCAGGAAAAGAGCTGGTATGAATATTAAAAATGCTTAGAAATGTAATACATTTATGTACAGACTGTATGGACTGTATTAACAAACAATATGTACATAACAGTTTACTACTACTGATAGTTTAGTGTAACTCCATGTTCATTAATACAGACCTTTGGTTGTATTCAGTTGTTCAAGATCCAAGCTCACATACTTCCAAAATGCAACAAGGTATAAAATAAAGCACAACAATTTGCCAAATGGTACAAAAACTACTACTGTCAGTTTCATCAAACCCAAAAAACTAGTGTCTCTGTCTAGTCCCAAAATAATTCCTGTACTTGGAATCAATCTCTATGTGCCATACACAAAAAAAGAACACCTGAATGTTACATATCTGCAAAATTACATCCCACAACACTTTTTGTAATGTGCAATTCATCTTAATAATACTTTCTAATGAAAAGCAGAAATTAACTTCAACTTGATAATTTCTCAACACACACTTCTGTGATGACACTGTGAATGCTTTTAAGTGTTACCAGGAAGATTAAAAACTATATGTGCACCTCCTTTACTTATTCTAAAGGACTATACCAGTAACTGCTATTTGCTTATCACTGTCTGCATTGATATCTAAGTGTGCTCAGACTTTTTTATGCATTATGCAGCTTGCATGTGCCCAACATTTAGCTTCAAAATCATCCTGAGTCTGCACACAACGAAGCAAATCCACACACCTAAGAAAAAACTAAATCCAACAAAAAAGCCCCACCGTACTTTACAAAACAATCATGCAACTGAAGAAGAACTGGGCATCCCATGAACTGTTGTGCTTGTTGGAGTTCCACTGATGGCGTTGAAAATGTGTAGCGAATTGGGCATAACATTGGCCTTTTCTTCAACCGGAGTAATCTTAAAATGGAAAACGAACATTCATCAACATGTTCCAAAATGACACAAGCAATTACAAACCAGATATTAAAATACTGCTTTCTATAGTTCACCGAAAGGACTTCATTTCTACCATCACAGAAGCACAGACCGCTTTTGCCGGAAGCCCCCCTGACCAACTTTCTTGGCTCAAGCAGGGTCATCTAATAACACCTACTCACCCAGAGGATGAATAGGGAGAGAGAGAGAGAGCAAACTGAACAAGGTACACTTTTTATGAAGAATATGAAGATTCATCCTTAGCTTAGAGGAATTACACAAAGATTAGACCAACTAAGAGCAAAAGTAAAGAAAACTAATTACCATCCCATCTGATATTTGCAAGCAAAGGGAAAAAAAAAAAAGAAAAATAAGTTAAGATTATTTTATACAATTTTCCACACAAAGTTTTTGCAATTCTTCATAACGCACACCATTGTAAGACAGCTAATAGTTGCTGCTTTTTTCGGTGGCAAAACAAACACTGTGAGAAGCTTTTTCTTCAAGTACAGCATCAGGCAGGCATATAAGGGTAATATTCTTAAAGATTTGGCTGAAGGCTTTGTGATCCTAAGCCTTCGAGATGAGATGAATCTAATTTTTCTTTATTTTTTACATAGAATGTTTTAATTACTACGTTTGTATAAAACCCACAATAGTGGGCTAATAGTGTACATCAATGCTGTGCATTCATATTCTGTTCACTGCTTCACAGTGTCATTTGTTCGCCCCTTCTCTTCGTTTACTGTCATCCAACTTGATTGACTCCTGAAGTTACAAGCATGACATCTTTTCTCCTATCCTCAATCTTTGGAAATTCACACATGAGCATTTTTTAAACATCAGCATCTTGCACTGCATTCTGATTATTTCTTCCTGTGTTCAAACCATCACCATATTTTTTTACTTTTTTCCTGCACCAGTGTAGGATTATTTTTTCTTTCATTATCACTATCTGTCCAAAGCATTTTCCTCTCTTCTCTGAAGGGATCTTCTGTACAGTTGTCTAATTCTCCCATACACTTCATTTATTTTGATCAGCTGTCCAATCTGTTCATCCCCTTCCTAAAAAAACACCACTGCCTTCTACTTTTCAGTCCATTACATTACAGTCAAACTATCCTGTTTCTTATTAGTTCTTTTCCTGTTTGCGGGATCATTCAAGACTGCATACGTGAAGTAACCTTTTTTTTTCCTAAAAAAATAAAAAAGCATGTTCTGACAAATGGTTCCATCCCCTACAGACCTCATCTCATTGTATTTTCCATTATCAGTGGCTACAATAAACCTATTTTTGTGGTAAGCTTTTCTGTCATGGTGTAACAAAAGAATAAGAGAATGAAAACAAATCCTGTGTACATGCTGCATTCTTGTGCTTCACCAGAATCTATAGCACAGAGCTACTCAGAACACAGTATTTGAGAAGAAAAGATGAGGAAATAATAGAAAACAGAGAAGCACATGAACAGAACTTCATCCCACTGACAAACTGTTGAATGCAAAAAAACTGCTATGCTTGCACTCTGAGAGAAATAAAAGGAAAACGAGCACAGTTCCCTAAAGTAAAGCACAATACATGCTTTCCCTACACATTTCAGCTACATTTTGAATAGTGGAATGCATAAATTCATCTCAGCACCTACTTGCTCATGCATTATTTCAGAAAGCTCTTTTGCCATTTCTCTGTAGTTGGCTTTCATTTCTTCTTGATATTCCAACTGATCTTCCTTTATAAGTCGCTCATTCACACCAAGAGCATGCCCACAAGCTTCAACAAATTGCCTGGTTTAGATAAAATGATAACAAAGATCTCAAAAAGGAATACAAAAACCAGACAAGTAATTAAAAATGCTACTTAAAACTGTTTTTAAAAATCTTTTGTCAGTCTTGAATTTTTATGTATTTTATTAAAAAACAAACAAACATGCAAACATACCTAAACACTTCCTTCAGTAGCTTCACTTTATTGTCTGGGTATCTTTTGGTGTTCGTGTCATCTAAGAAGGCTCGTGCATATGCTAATGGACCAGCATTAACCTAAGAACAAGAATTACAAAATACGGTTAGCTCTCTGACTTACTGTCTTTGCAATAGCAGATACCACAATTGTCCTGGCTTTCTCAGTAGAGCACAATTATTTTTTAAATGCATCTAAAACTAAACCAATCAAACAAAAAAACTATTAAAAAACAACAACAACAACAACAAAATAAAACAAGAAATCCTGGATTTTCTTCATAAGAAATAACTAGTAAGACCAGTACCATATTGATTTCTATTTGCCCAAATTCACGCACAATGTATCCTATTTTGGTGGATCTGATCATTTCTTTTTACTACATTCAGCCCTTGCTTGCCTTAGCTAACGATGATATAAAAAAAACCCAAACAACATAAACACAAACTCAAAACATTACACACTGAGATTTTCTTCTATTGTCCTTCTCCTGTATTTAAGCTCCCCCCTTCATCCCCTACAAAATCAGCAACAAGCATGCTGAACCTAATGTGAGCAGATGTACAGCTAAATAAATGGTGTGAATTTTGGCTCAGATGGGAAGTCACTTTATTTTATTCTAGTTATTATTATTATTATCTGCTTATTATTTTATTTTATTCTAGTTTCAGACCACCAAAGATTCCAGAAACATAATCTTAACCTCTGAATACAAATAAATATCAATTGATCAATGTTTATATGAAATATTTGTATTTTTCCCATTCTGGGAAAAACTGCCAACAACAGCAAGCATATTACTGACTTAGGACATGCTTGAATACTCACAATGAAAATTAATGGTAAAATGCTACTTTGATACTTTTTCAGTGACAGAAGCAAGCAAAAAAATGGAATGGCAAAGTGAACGGTCTTACCTGAACACTGACACTCCCTTGTAGCTTCAGCTGCAATTTGATCATATCTACTTCAGCTGAAGCACAAAGCTGCCTGAGTTCTGCAACTTTCTTACTCATTTCATCAATGGCTACTTCAATGGGGTTTAAATCGGTGTGGTGCTGGTACATTACTGGAATGCGTTTCTTCACATATGGGAAGCAATGTATAGCTGTGGACAAAAATGAGTTTAATGAAGTTTTTAAAAGGTCTTTGAATAAAGTGAACTTTGAGAGAATTGTAAGTGAAAACTCATCATCCGCTTTAAAATACATTACATAATTTTAAATACTGCCTGCACAGGGAAACAACATACTGAAAATTTAAATATGCATAGCTTTACATGTATTAAAGCACAGAAGCCTCACTGTTATTTCTATAACAGTAACAAAGAAATAAAACATTAGAACTATGGTTGTGAAAAAGAGAAGGACCTGGGTGTGTTGGTTGATGCTCAGCTGAACAGGAGCCAGCAGTGTGCCCAGGTGGCCAACAGGGCCAATGGCATCCTGGCCTGCGTTAGAAATAGTGTGGCCAGCAGGAGCAGGGAGGTGATCATCCCCCTGTACTCAGCACTGGTGAGGCCGCACCTCGAGTACTGTGTTCAGTTTTGGGCCCCTCACTACAGGAAAGATGTTGAGGCCCTGGAACGTGTCCAGAGAAGGGCAGCAAAGCTGTGAGGGGTCTGGAGCACAAGTCTTATGAGACTGAGGGAGCTGGGACTGTTTAGTATGGAGAAGAGGAGGCTCAGGGGAGACCTCATTGCACTCTACAACTGCCTGAAGGGAGGTTGTGATGAGGAGGGGTTTGGCCTCTTCTCCCAGGCAACAAACAGGACCTGGGGAAATGGCCACAAGTTGTACCAGAGGAGGTTTAGGTTGGACATAAGGAAGAACTTTTTCTCTCAGAGGGTGGTCAGGCACTGCAATGGCTGCCCAGGGAGGTGGTGGAGTCGCCGTCCCTGGCAGTGTTCAAGAGGTGCCTGGATGAGGAGCTGCGGGATGTGGTTTAGTGCTTGTGGTGGCAATGGTGATGAGGAGACGATTGGACTGGATGATCTTATAGGTCGTTTCCAACCTTGTGATTCTATGATTCTATGAACTTAATTAATAGGAGAATTGTAAAAAGAATTGCTTATCATCCACATAGCTCAAAGAGGAGAAGAACTAAAAAACAGCAAGACTATATTATTGATTTCCTCTGAAGTATTAACTATGTAAAGCTGATACTACAAACTGATTTATCTATATGAAAAAAAAGCTGACATATTATTTCAGACCGAAGGAAAAAACCTTTTACAGTGAGGGTGGTGAGGCGCTGCAACAGGTTGCCCAATGGTGTGGTTGATGTCCCTGGAGACGTTCAAGGCAAGGCTGGGTCAGGCACTGGGCAACCTGATCTGGCCATGGATGTCTCTGTTCGCTGCAGGGGAGTGGGACCGGATGGTCTTTAAAGGTCCCTTTCAACTCTAAGGATTCTATGATTCTATGACTGATTCTACTAACTCCTGTAATCTCAATTTACCACTACTAACACTAAAGCGGTGATACACAAGCTCACACGTTCAACACATACAAAACAGAAAAAAGCCTTTTTCAAAGAAAAATTGAAACAATTCCAGGTTTGTGGTTCTTGAAATTTTAAAGAAAAAGCCGTTTGACAGTTATCACTTGAAGAAACCAATGGAAAGCCTCTTTTGGGTTAAAATATGGAAAATATTTTAACTGACATTTTTTACTCTGCATGCTTCTGTACAACAATGCTGAGTATTAGCTTGAAGTGCACACTCATTTTAAAAATTGTTTTACAAAGCATTGTATAAAACATCCTGATATATTCTGCTGTTCTTGTAAACTCCAAAAGCCAGGCGTGAAATCTTCTAAAGGATTTTTTCAGACAAAATACAGAACATACAGAAAAGCCCAGCATCAAGAAGTAAATACGTTTTTCAAAGAACAGTTTTCTTTTAAAGGAAATTTCCAGCCAATGAGTACCTGTCAAGATTGTCCGTCGTTTACACTGCTCTTCCACTCCTCCTTGTCTTTTGCCAGCTTGAGTGAAAGGCATCTCAAACATAAAGCGACGAATGTTATGAGTCCTTTCAAAATCTGTTTTCCTTTCTTGCAACTCTTTTTCTTCAAAGTAAGGAACTACATGTGTAACCTGAATGTATGCATATTTTGAATCTAAATCCTTTGGATTTACCTTAAAAACATTAA